GAGGGAGTTGAAAGTCTGTGTTGCCCAGCGACAGCCCCAAAACATCACTGCTCTAGAGGAGATATGTATGGAGGAATGGGCCAAAATATCAGCAACAGTGTGTGAAAACCTTGTGAAGACTTACAGAAAACGTTTGACCTGTGTCATTGCCAACAAAGGGTATATAACAAAGTATTGAGAAACGTTTGTTATTGACCAAATACTTATTTTCCACCATAATTTGCAAATAAATTCATTAAAAAATCCTACAATGTGATTTTCTGGATTTTTTCCCCTCATTTTGTCTGTCATAGTTGATGTGTACCTATGATGAAAATTACAGGCCTCTCTCATCTTTTTAAGTGGGAGAACTTGCACAATTGGTGGCTGACTAAATACTTTTTTCCCCCACTGTATGTTAGAGGTATGGTAAAATGCCTGTGTTAGAGGTATGGTAAAAGGCCTATGTTAGAGGTATGGTAAAAGGCCTATGTTAGAGGTATGGTAAAAGGTCTATGTTAGAGGTATGGTAAAAGGCCTATGTTAGAGGTATGGTAAATCAAATCAAATTTTATTAGTCACATGGACCGAATACAACAGGTTTAGACTTTACCGTGAAATGCTTACTTACGAGCCCATTCCCAACAATGCAGAGTTAAAAAGTATGACAAATATTAGCTAAATAAAAAATAAACAACAATGAAAAGGAAATAGTAACACAATAAAATAACAATAACGAAGCTATTGTACCACGGAGTACCACTACCGAGTCAATGTGCTGGGGTACGAGGTAATAACATGGCTATATACAGGAAGTATCACTACCGAGTCAATGTGCTGGGGTACGAGGTAATAACATGGCTATATACAGGAAGTACCACTACCGAGTCAATGTGCTGGGGTACGAGGTAGTTGAGGTAGTTGAGGTAATACAGTATGTACAGTATCAGTCAAAAGTTTGGACACACCTACTCATTCAAGGGTTTTTCTTAATTTTTACTATTTTCTACATTGTAGAATAATAGTGAATACATCAAAACTATGAAATAACACATATGGAATCATGTAGTAACCCAAAAAAGTGTTAAACAAATCAAAATATATTTTATATTTGAGATTCTTCAAATAGCCACCCTTTGCCTTGATGACAGCTTTGCACACTCTTGGCATTCTCTCAACCAGCTTCACCTGGAATGCTTTTCCAACAGTCTTGAAGGAGTTCACACATGTGCTGAGCACTTGTTGGCTGCTTTTCCTTCACTCTGCGGTCCGACTCATCCCAATTGTGGAGATGAGTCGGGGATTGTGGAGGCCAGGTCATCTGATGCAGCACTCAATCACTATCCTTCTTGGTAAAATAGCCCTTACACTGCCTGGAGGTGTGTTGGGTCATTGTCCTGTTGAAAATCAAATGATAGTCCCATTAAGCCCAAACCAGATGGGATGGGGTATCGCTGCAGAATGCTGGTGTAGCCATACTGGTTAAGTGTGCCTTGAATTCTAAATAAATCACAGACAGTGTTACCAGCAAAGCACCCCCACATCATAACACCTCCTCCTCCATGCTTTACGGTGGGAAATACACATGTGGAGATCATCCGTTCACCCACACAGCGTCTCACAAAGACACGGCGGTTGGAACCAAAAATCTAAAATTTGGAAACATTTCCACCGGTCTAATGTCCATTGTTCGTGTTTCTTGGCCAAAGCAAGTCTCTTCTTCTTATTGGTGTCCTCATGAGAGCCAGTTTAATCATAGCTCTTGATGGTTTTTGCGACTGCTCTTGAAGAAACGTTCAAAGTTCTTGAGATTTTCCGTATTGACTGACCTTCATGTCTTAATGTAATGATGGACTGTCGTTTCTCTTTGCTTATTTGAGCTGTTCTTGCCATAATATGGACTTGGTCTTTTACCAAATAGGGCTATCTTCTCTATACCCCCCCTACCTTGTCACAACACAACTGATTGGCTCAAACGCATTAAGAAGGAAATACATTCCACAAATTAACTTTTAAGAAGGCACACCTGTTAATTGAAATGCATTCCAGGTGACTACCTCATGAAGCTGGTTGAGAGAATGCCAAGAGCGTGTAAAGCTGTCATCAAGGCAAAGGGTGGCTACTTTGACGAATCTAAAATCTAAAATATATTTTGATTTGTTTAACACTTTTTTGGTTACTACATGATTCCATATGTGTTATTTCATAGTTTTGATGTCATCACTATTTGTCTACAATGTAGAAAATAGTAAAAATAAAGAAAAACCCTTGAATGAGTAGGTGTGTCTAAACCTTTGACCGGTAGTGTACATGCAGGTAGGGGTAAAAGGCCTATGTTAATTATGTTAAATATTCTAAACTTGGATTCAAGTCTTTGTCAAATTGTTCTCAACTATCTTCATACCAACAATCTTCTTACCTACAATCGTCATACACTCTTAGAAAAAAGGGTTCCAAAAGGGATCTTCAGCAGTCGCCATAGGAGAACCATTTTTGTTTCCAGGTAGAACCCTTTTGAGTTCCAAAAAGAACCCTCTGTGAAAAGGGTTCTACCTGGAACCAACAGGGTTTTACCTGGAATCAAATCTAGTTCTTCAAAGGGTTGTACCATATCAATTGAACCATTCCCAGCCATTGGCGCTCCTGCAGAGATGGAGGAGGAAGAAGAAGAAGAAGAAGAAGAAGAAGAAGAAGAAGAAGAAGAAGAAGAAGAAGAAGAAGAAGAAGAAGAAAGACTGCGCTCGGCCTCTCCAGGGTCTTCTGCTGTGGCAGAAAGAGGAAGTGGAAGAGGAGTAGCCAGTGAAGCAGCCACACGGTATGCAGACACATTTATATTCCGAAATTAGCATAAAATAATAAAATAAAACTTTGGACTCTGATTATGTTTCAATGTATAATATTTGCAATTGCTTTAATCGTGTAATAATTGGGACACAAAACAGACAGTTTAGGCCTCCTGAGTGGCGCAGCGTTCTAAGGCACTGCATCAGAGTGCTAGAGGCGTCACTACAGACCCAGGTTTGATCCCGGGCTGTATCACAACCAGCCGTGATCAGGAGTCCCATAGGGCGGCGCACAATTGGGGGCTTTACTTGGCTCATCGCACTCTAGCGACTCCTTGTGGCGGGCCGGGCGCCTGCAAGGCTGACCTTTGTCGTCAGTTGAATGTTGTTTTCCTCTGACACATTGGTGCGGCTGGCTTCTGGGTTAAGCGGGCGGGTGTTAAGAAGTGCGGTTAGGCGGGTCATGTTTCGGACTACGCATGACCCGACCTTTGCTTCCCGAGCCCGTTGTGGAGTTGCAACGATGAGACAAGATCGAAAAAGGGGTAAAATAAAAAAACAGATTTTCTAAGGGTTTTCTTTATTTGAAAGGAATAAAGACATCTGGAATGTGAGCACACAGCAATGGGTAGAAAACCACATGTAAAACAGCTTCTAACTCTATACTACCCTACTTGTAAAACAATATTCTTAAGACAGCTTCAATACAAATATGTATGTGATGTAAACATAGATGGAAAGGAGCTGGAAAGAGGCGTCTATTTGTATATCATATGTGCCTGAATTATTCCAAAGAAAACTCAACTTTTGTTTTTAAAAAAGCATGACACTGCAATCCAATCTGGAAAGGAAACATTACCTACAACAGAAGCACTTCTCGCTTAACCACAAAAACAAAAATTGTTAACAGTTAAGAACCATCTGAGTGTTAACAGTTTAGAACCATCTGTGTATTAACAGTTTAGAACCATCTGAATATTAACAGTTTAGAACCATCTGAATGTTAACAGTTTAGAACCATCTGAATATTAACAGTTTAGAACCATCTGAGTGTTAACAGTTTAGAACCATCTGAGTGTTAACAGTTTAGAACCATCTGAGTGTTAACAGTTTAGAACCATCTGTGTATTAACAGTTTAGAACCATCTGAGTGTTAACAGTTTAGAACCATCTGAGTGTTAACAGTTTAGAACCATCTGAGTGTTAACAGTTTAGAACCATCTGAATATTAACAGTTTAGAACCATCTGAATATTAACAGTTTAGAACCATCTGAATATTAACAGTTTAGAACCATCTGAATATTAACAGTTTAGAACCATCTGAATATTAACAGTTTAGAACCATCTGAGTATTAACAGTTTAGAATAATCTGTGTTAACACTTATAGGAAAACTCCACCGAAAAACGATATTTGGGTATTTGTTTCATTAGCCCATTGTTGACATAGTCCCAAAATGTTTTGCAAGTTAGCAATCAAGTTTTCAAGATATGTAACTTGCAAAATAGTTAAATCGTCCTCGTATGATGCATTTTGCTTCATATGATGCTGCGTTTTGCATCACATGGGGATGATTTCTGTATTTCTGTAAACGTAGATATGGATTCAATACATATCATGAAAGGTCAGAGCTATAGCACGATTTATATATATAGTAAATTTAAAGGCAATGTTCCCGTGATCAAGGAGACTGGAACAACGCTGCATGTATCTATAGCACTGAACCTCCGTCATACGGATTGAATCGAGCCCTTAAATGAAAATGTGAATAAGTAAGAAAGGAACTTCCCATCTTAGGGTCCTTTATGTTCTGACAGGATGAATCAATTCTATCCAGCCTGGAGAAACACATCAGTGACAATTAAAAAAACACCACCATTTAGATGACAGTACCAAAGTACTAGGGTACTATAAGGGAACTAGGGTGTGATTTCAGACCCCTCTTGGTCTCCTGAGTTGTGCCTGTATCATCTCATATGTATAGTCGCCACACACACACACACACACACACACACACACACACACACACACACACACACACACACACACACACACACACACTCCTAAACCTAAACATAACCCCTAACTCTTATTCTAACCCTAACCCTAATTGTAACCCCTAAACCTAACCCCTAAGCCTAAAATAGCCTTTGTCCTCATGGGCATGTGGGAAATGTCCCCACGAGGGAGGATTTTTCTCTCACACACACACACACGGTGTTGGTCTCCTGATCACCAGTGGTTCTGCAGTCTCTCTGAGCTGGACATCCACTCCCGTCTGGATTTCTTGTCATGGAGGACGTGCCACATTTTGTTCACAGGCTCATAACCTTTCTTCATCCTCTCTAACTCCTTCATGGGGATCGTCTCCTTACAATGGCTGAGAGGGAGGGAGGCAAACAACATGTCAACCACTATGCATGTTTGTGTACCATCTGTGTGTGAGTGTTGTCTGTGTGTGTGTGTGTGTGTGTGTGTGTGTGTGTGTGTGTGTGTGTGTGTATAGACAGATAGCACTTCAACAACCAGGTCTCTGTGTAGGTCAGAATGGTAAGGACTAGTGTGTGTGTGTGTGTGTGTGTGTGTGTGTGTGTGTGTGTGTGTGTGTGTGTGTGTGTGTGTGTGTGTGTGTGTGTGTGTGTGTGTGTGTGTGTGTGTGTGTGTGTGTGTGTGTAGTAGCTGTACATGTCAGATGATGCAGGCACAACTCTGCTTTGGTTTCTCTGATCTCGGGTGCACCAGTACCTGAAGAGAATCTCTAATGGAATGACAGGGAGGTCCTCAAACTCGATCCAGTACCCACGGCGAAACGCCTGAATGAAACATAGTGTTATAAACACAGTATTGTCATAACAACATGTTCACATACACACACACACACACGCAGGCTAAAAGTAGTCCTTACCATTCGGACATAAGGCCACATCTCCCATTTACCCAGATTGGTGTTGTCAATCACGATCGGATGGACTTTACTTCTGATGGCTTCAAGAACTGCAGGGAGCAACTCATAACCATAACCCTTAAATCATCCTTAATCAATGGGTTCAACCAATCAATTAATAAATGACACAATTAATAAATGATCAAAGTCACCAATTAATCAACCAATCACACCATTAATAAAACATGAAGAGTTTCATTCCAAAACGCTATATATCCATTTTCAGAAATGTTGGTAAATTAGCTTATGAAAGAGATTGGTGTGTTTTTTTTCTCCATCTAGTCATGGCATGGGGTTGATAAATGACATGTATTAGTTTGAAACCTACCACTAGATGGTGTCATGTCAGAGACAAACAATCGCTATAGCACAAGGCTAGATTTATGATGAGTTGAATTTATACACTCTAAGAAAAAAAGGTGCTAAGTAGAACCATACAGGGTTCTTCGGTTTGTCCCCATAAGGGGAACCCTTTTTGGTGCTGGGTAGAACCCTTTGCAGAGGGTTCTATCTAGAACTCTCTATGTAGGGTTCTTCAAAGAACCCCCTGTTTATTGTTGTACCTAGAACCCTCTATGAAACTGTATGTTATTTATATTTTTTTGTGTAGCATAAAATTAATCAACTAATCAATGTACATGCAAAAACACAGATATTACAGTTAAACAAACAATTATGAAAATCTCCCTGCAATAGAGCATGCTGGGAAATATGATATATAGTTATAGTTCTATGTAGAACCCTTCTTGCCTTCCAAAGAATCCTTCTTGCCTTCCAAAGAATCATCAAAGAACCCTTCCTTACAAAAATGGTTATAAGGATGTTAAAGGTTCTAGATAGAACCCTTTGCCTTACTAAGAACCCTTGTCTTCCAAAAAGTGTTCTTCTGATCAAAACGGTTCTCGGTAGAACCCTATCCCTCCACAAAGAACCCTTTTGGAACCCTAAGAGTGTATGTTAAATATACAGCAAACCAACATTCCATTCCAGCTAAACAATGGATACATAGTGTTTGCAACACAACCAGTTTGAATCTAAAAGCTATGAATAAAAACTCGGAGGACAGTAATATTTGACACATACATGAAGGTGCCCAAGCATTCATTTCTGATGAAAAAACACAAATGTGAGAATTTGGTGGATATAGCGTTTTGGAAATAAACTCTTCACATCTAATTCAATAAATGAATTAATTAATCGATCAATAAATTAAATCGATAAATCAGTCAGTCCTAGACCTACCTCTTTTGCGGTTCCAGTCATGAGCTTGGTCCAGGAGTTCCTCCTGGATCCCAACTATCTCCCCGTTCTCCTTGAAGTAGTCGTCTGTGCTGAAGGCCTCTCCAGACCTATACTCCTCCAGGATATTGCTGTAGACACACACACACACACACACACACACACACACACACACACACACGCATACACACACGCATACACACACACATACACACACTCAACATCAACTCAGACAGAACATATATACAGCCTGTATACAGAAGTGTGTGTGTGTGTGTGTGTGTGTGTGTGTGTGTGTGTGTGTGTGTGTGTGTGTGTGTGTGTGTGTGTGTGTGTGTGTGTGTGTGTGTGTGTGTGTGTGTGTGTGTGTGTGTGTGTGTGTGAGGGCGTGGTCGTGTTTAACTATACTTGTGGGGACCAGAAGTCCCCACAAGAATAGTAAACCATGAAAGATTTGACCAACTGGGGACATTTTGTTGGTCCCCACAAGGTCAAATGCTATTTCTAGGGGGTTTAGGGTTAAGGTTAGAATTAGTGTAAAAAATTCATCTTTACAAATAAAAAACAAGTTGACCCCTTAAAGCCAGATGGAGATGGGTAAATTAGACGCACATTCGGTCTTTATATTATTGTAATATAGGCTATGCTGCAGCAAATGTAGGCCTACCTGTCACAAGAAGAAGAGTTACCATGATGAGATGATAGGTCTACATGCATTGTTACCATGATGAGATGATAGGTCTACATGCATTGTTACCATGATGAGATGATAGGTCTACATGCATTGTTACCATGATGAGATGATAGGTCTACATGTATTGTTACCATGATGAGATGATAGGTCTACATGCATTATTACCATGATGAGATGATATGTCTACATGCATTGTTACCATGGTGAGATGATAGGTCTACATGCATTGTTACCATGATGAGATGATAGGTCTACATGCATTGTTATGATGATGAGATGATAGGTCTACATGTATTGTTACCATGATGAGATGATATGTCTACATGTATTGTTACCATGATGAGATGATAGGTCTACATGCATTGTTATGATGATGAGATGATAGGTCTACATGTATTGTTACCATGATGAGATGATAGGTCTACATGTATTGTTACCATGATGAGATGATAGGTCTACATGCATTGTTACCATGATGAGATGATATGTCTACATGTATTGTTACCATGATGAGATGATAGGTCTACATGCATTGTTATGATGATGAGATGATAGGTCTACATGCATTGTTACCATGATGAGATGATAGGTCTACATGCATTGTTACCATGATGAGATGATATGTCTACATGTATTGTTACCATGATGAGATGATAGGTCTACATGCATTGTTATGATGATGAGATGATAGGTCTACATGCATTGTTACCATGGTGAGATGATAGGTCTACATGCATTGTGTAACTGCACTCCATACTGAGATGGGCTGTCTGTCTCCACCCTGAGCATTGATTCATCATGCAGAGGCCGTAGATAAGACAGATGTAATCATCATTTAACAGTTAATTTCACGCCATGCTGTTCATATAAATAATGTATTATAATTTACCGGATTCTCGCAGTTATTTATTCAGGGAACAGGGAGTGGTTTTGGGGGGTAAATCCCAGGTAAATCTCAGTAACTGGGTTCCTGCCATTCAACCCTAGATGTGTAGATATCCTGTGTTACATGTAGAGAATGAGTTTCTATGGCTACGTTTACACACACAACCCAATTCTGAGCTTTTGCCCAATTATTGCCCAAAGATCTGATATGATTGGTCAAAAGACCCAATATATCAGAATTGTGCTGCCTGTGTAAAAACAGACATTGAGCACTGATAAAAATACGAATAAATAAAATGATACAAACTGGCATGAGCGGCAGGTGGTTCAAAACCCTGAAACGACAAGGTGAAAAAACAGTTGATGTGCCCTTGAGCAAGGCACTTAACCCTAATTGCTCCTGTAAGTCGCTCTGGATAAGAGCGTCTGCTAAATGACAAAAATGTAATGAAGGTTATTGGTGACTGTGAGAGGCAGCATCCCTCCCTGCAGCATATTTTTTAACCGACCGTTATCAGACAATCGGATGACATTTTTTTCAAGGCCCTCCCATGTACCTCAGGCAGACCCTCTAGTGGATTTGATGATTATTGTTTCATTCACTTCTCACTTCCCCCCCCCCCCCCCCCCCTGCTGCTCCTCCTATTGACGTTGGAGCTCGGAGCTGAAGCATTTCACTGTGCCCTGCCATTACATCTGCGGTCCTGTGCATGTGACTAGTAAACTCATCTATCGTTTATCTAGTGTGTAGGCTGTTAGTTCTATTGATCAAATCGCAGTTGTTGTCTGTGTATCTGTGTAAAAGGCCTGGGGCCTCATTTAACAATACTGCGCAGAAACTATTCAAAAACGTTACTTATGAACGGAACTTAGAATGTTTGTGCACATAGAAAAAGTGTGATTTATCAAACAAGCTTCATGCACATACCGGTAGGAGATAACCATTGATAAATACCAATTGTTCTCAGCTTCAGTGCTCATTCACGACCTTGGATATTTGCATTTAGAAACAACCCTAATGAACCATATGGTCAAAGCACGTGGGGAATATACAACGGCGCAACCAAAAAAAAGCTAAGTGTTTTAGTTTTCTTTAATGAAATAAAAGGTGCTAGTGTCAGAGGTTGACTGCAACCAAAAGGTTTTATTTGGCTTGCTCATTGTGGCTTGACCAGTAAAAATAAAACCATAGCTACAAAGAGAGGACCATTAGGATAATTCAAATTGCTTTAGCAATGGCAAATATACTTCAAAAGAGTAGGCAACACTGACCAATGAGCCATTCATCCTCAACAGCTCCCTCCTGTAGCGTGTTCCACCTGGCCACCTTGCCACCACATTCAGCAGCGCCTTTTTTTGCGCATCAAGTAACCTATCACCTGTATGAGTGTAAGTGAGTGTAAGCCTTTTCTGTTCACATAGTTTAACTTGTTTTGGGATGGTGCCATCTATTGCTCCGTTCGTATTTGGGAACCCTGATGGCAAAGAAAAACCTCTTGACTTCAACATGTTGCGCGTTGGTGTATGGAAATTGTATGTAACCGTTGCCGATCTGAGATGCAGATCGGCAAGCTCCGCTGCCAAAAACCCGAATTTTACACACACACACTCTCAAGCCAACGTTCATATTGATAAATCTCACACATTGCGTGGAAATGATCCCATACATGGTTTACGCACAGATTTGTGCCTATGCAAGATTAATAAATGAGGCCTCAGGAGTCCTCCCCTAGGCCCAAGGCCCAGTTTCCTTAAAGTGGAACTGACAGCGTTTTAGCAACGTTACATCTTAATAGAATCTGTTCATATACACCCCCAGGAAGAATATTTTATACATTTTCTGACAAGCGAGCAATTAGATTTGGTCATGTTTTCATAAATTCTTAGAATGTTTGGGAATTACGTATAGTAAGGCATTTCTGAAAATTATATAGAAATATAAAGTGGGAAAGTGGCCTTGCATTTGGACAATTAATAGACACTGCAGTAAATAAAACCTAATAAAAATCCAGGATCTGAGTCTATGCAGACCGGTGTGCCATAGCCAATCAAAGCTACAGTAGGCCTTTATGCAAATAAGCCATTTGCCACAGGGGCCTGTCATCATTCACTTTGCACTGGACTGTGTGTTTACAGGCAGTAGCAACAGTGCTACTTTAGATCATTGGAAAGCGTTCGCCAAAAGCCACAAAATACACCTGAATGGATTTCTGCAAATATGTAAATACAACGGGAGTCCTCTTACATTTGGGAACTTTACAGTCCTATTGATCAAACAATCATGAAAAGGTAGGCTCTCTCCCTCAGTTATACACATCAACAACAACAAGATCAACAACTAATGCTAGCCAGAACAAGATGAGCTAAAATCTATGAGCTAAAAACGTTTTCAGCTAGTTGGCTGTCAAAATAGCATTTACATTTTAGCAGACGCTCTTATCCAGGGCGACTTAAAGTTAGTGAATGCATACATATATATATATATTTTTTCATACTGGCCCCCCATGGGAAACAAACCCACATCCCTGCCGGCCAAACCCTCCCCTACCTTAGACGACGCTGGACCAATTGTGCGCCGCCTATGGGTCTCCCAGTCGCGGTCGGCTGCAACAGAGCCTGGATCTCTAGTGGCACAGCTTGCACTGCGATGCAGTGCCTTAGACCACTGCGCCACTCGGGATTAGCACTGATAAACGATGAGGGAATAGTAGCCTGCTCGTCCTTCTGCAGCTTGACTGCTAATGAATGCTTGTCCCAACCCACGTTTTGACAACTGAATGGGAACTTGCCTGCCTGACCATTTGATCAATGCCAAATGCATTTCATTGACGTCTAGCTAAGGGTGCGTTCATAAATTGCCTCTAGTGTGTTAGAGTGCATTCTGGGTCGTTCAAAAATTCAGAGCATTGTCAGATTGTCTGTTCGTAAATTCAGAGCATTTCGCTCTCCGAGTGTACACTGCACGATTGACACTGGTCGCTCTGGCCGAGGAATAGGGTTGATCCGAACGTTCCTCACAACGGCAGTCAAGCACCCAAGCTAACTTGCTAACGTTGGCTAGCCTGCTAGCTACTTCCACACACAAATGAGAGAACACCTCACTCCAGTGGAGGCTCCTCAGAGGAGGAAGGGGAGGACCATCCTCCTCAGTAAATTACATACAAATTAAAATAGTGAAACATTTAAAAAGTGAAACATTTAAAACGTTTTTAGATAAAACTATATAAATATATACACGTCACCAAATAGTTGATTAAAACACACTGTTTTGCAATGAAGATCTACAGTAGCCTCAACAGCACTCTGTAGGGTAGCACCATGGTGTAGCTGGAGGACAGCTGGCTTCCGTCCTCCTCTGGGTACAATGACTTCAATACAAAACCTAGGAGGCTCATGGTTCTCACCCCCTTCCATAGACTTACACAGTATTTATGACAACTTCTGGAGGACGTCCTCCAACCTATCAGAGCTCTTGCAGCATGAACTGAACATGTTGTCCACCCAATCAAAGGATCAGCGAATTAATATAGTACTGAAACAGCTAGCTAGCA